AAAAAAAATTCTTTTCCGACATCGCTAGATAAATCGAATCTGAACGAAGCAGAAGGAAAAATGATGCTTAAAAGGGCAGTGTGGGAAGGAAATTCACATAGCATCAAGCCCACGTAATAAATTTGGCCGAAAATACCCCCAAGAATGATTGTCACCTAAATTAACGAATAAATATGTGATCGGCTTATTGCAAATTCTTAAATTCGTCTGGTTGGCGTTTAGTGCCCTCCCAAGACGGGAACATATGCAATGGTAGCCAAGTGGCAAACAGTGAGAGAGGTATGTATAAATATATATTATATATACAAATAAAATACACCCGCCAGAAACTCTATTTTAGGAAACCATCTCGTTCAACATGTTTATCCAAAATGGTTTTATGAAACATTAATCAACAAAAGATAACGTAAGCACTACATATACGTTCCTTGCATTTATAAATAATAAACTCAACATCTCTATCAATCCATTTATTCCCCGAATAACTATCAATAGTCAATAAATTTTAACATAACGATACATCAATATATTAAAAAAACATATAACTGAAAAAAAAAAAATATTTGAAAAAGAATCCAATAGGTACAAAAGAATGACTCCCTTTCACAAGCCATTTTGGTCAATTGGTAAGATTAACTTGAGTTTTATTTCCTTCATGAGCTTTTAAAGCAGCTACAAGAAGGAGATTTTGAGACCAAGTCCGCTCACTTTTAACTGCCACATGCTAACAGCTGTACCTCTATTTCCATTTGTGGAGAAGTTTTGATAAACAAAGCCAAGACGCTTCTTGCAGTCTGTGGTTAAATGATAAACTAGAGCTGAAATAATGTCAAAAGTAAATTTGTGGACATCAGGTTTCACAGCCATCCGTAGAAGCATGGCTGTCCACTCATCTGGCGCCAGCCTAATCACCTCATTAAAGTACTGAAAGCCTTTTCCAATCCTATTGAGAACAATTCGCTCCTGCATGGACAAGAATGTTACATTCCAACATATTGACACCTCACTTGCAAAGTCGGACGGAAAGTGCAAACATCTATGGCACAAATACGCTCAAAGGCAGATAAACATAAGGGCCGTCATAGTCTCATTCTTCCTTTTAAGATTTTCTCTACTGTAAAATGCTTTACCCCTCTATAAGATATTGATTAACGTATTCATAGATTTACATGTGTTTTACATCTAGCAGCGTACAATTCAAACTTTAAAGCTTATGCCAGAAGCCTTCCTTTAGTGATTACTACTATAAAAGTCATTTTAAGCAGGGCATCAAGCAATGCTGTAGTTAAAAAAAAAAAAAAAAAAAAATCCATGATTGATGTGTTCAGCGAGACAAACTTCAATATTACCTCAAATAGCAATCTGCTTTTGCCCTGAGGCGTCTCCTTTAACAAATGATCAATGATCTCATCTTGCAGGAATAAATCAGCCGCTTCTATTATGTCTCGAAGAAGGAAAAGACGCACTCTCAGACCCTTGTCCGATAAAAGGAACAATAAAAGATCTTCAGTGGCATCAACAACAGAATGCATGTCAAAGTATTTCCAACCAAAAGGACTTGAAGACTTCTCAGAACTAGGGTCTTCAGTTGACTCAGAAGCCTGCTCAGATATTGCTGCTATCTGAAAATTGAATCCGCACAAAATTTAGACCAATATTACATAACATGAAAACTATGCCCGAGAGTATTTAAACTTGAGTGGAGCAATAGATGGGTGCAAAATTTGCGATCCTCCCAAAACATTACTAGCATGGGCCTGCGCTTTCAGCCTCAAGAAGTCATGCTTACACATTCTTGAGGGAGCGTGACATAATCAACGTGCAAAATTTTTATCTGATTTTAACTAGGCAGCATGTAACAAGTGAACATTAAGCTCATTGTGCACAGGTTCTATAAGTAGCTCTAAAGAAAATATAGACCATTGCCCATGCAACATCTTAACCACAAACCCCTGCAGAAAAGGTAAGGCAGGGGAGGGTGGGGAGGGAGGACTGATTGCAGAAAAGCAAATTCAGCTAAATGATTGCTGATCAGACCATGCAATTTAAGAGATATAGTCATTCATATACCCAAGGAAAACCAGAGCAGCGTAAAGGCAACCACACAGATTTGGTTATGCCACCCATGTAGGGTTCCAAACTTCCAAATCCAAGGGCAAGTGAAAAAAAGGGTTCATCAAGATGTAAAACTTAAAAGAGTAGTGTTACATGAGATGATTAGATTATGATGAAGCAAATAGCAAGTAGCGCAATCTAGAGAGGTAGACACACGCACGTGCACGCACAGACAGAGAGAGGGAAAGAGATATACCAAGCGCTCTAGTCGATTCCACCGAATAGCTCCATTGTTACAAATGAGAAGTTGCCTCAAAATTCTTCTCATATCAGGACTTGGGTCTGCAATCAGTCTCCCAATGACAAATGGATATGCGCTCTCAATGACTTTGAAATCAGGATCCAGAACTTTTGCTGTGCCCTCAAGTGATCCCAATGCTCTTATCACTAGAGCATAGTCTGGTGGGAGGGAGAAGTTAAATTCATACATAACATCATAAAGTTGGTTCATAATTCCCTGAAATCCAAGGTGAGAATGAAAATTGAGAAATTGAGTACCACAATTCCGATACTTGAGCTTCGTAGAGGAACCAAACCAAAATATTAAATATGTGATAGTTACATTATTATATCTCATCAGCAACAAGATTAAACGAAATGAAATGACAAGGCTAAGGTGACAATTTACGTTTTGCATTTTCAGGAAGAAATCACCACAAACCCCAGAAGGAGGAGGAGGAAGGAAAAGCACAGGGAAGAACCTGGAAATCTCGTGATTGACTGGTTCGATCAGCAAAGGATGCTTTCAAAGTATCAGAAACTGCGTATACATCAACTGCTTCAGGAATGAATCCCAAAGAAAGAAAGTCATTTGCCAAACCCAGAGAATCACGATTAACAAAGTGCACAAGCTGAAAGAAAGAAAATCTTATTAAAGCAGGAAATTGCCAGAAAAATTCTCTCATCTGTGGCGGGGTGAGGGCAAATAATGATGAGAAACTGAAGGAAAACAAGTCTTATCCCACTAAAGGTTAAGAAAATGCATACAAAACAAATGACAGAGGAAAAAAGATTGGAAAAAAAAAAAAGCATACCGAAGAAAATTCCATCCAAGAGAATATGATTTACTAGATGATCAAATTCCAGTGAGAAAAAAAAAAATCATATTTCAGAAACTATGACTTAAGAAATAAGAGATCGATATCTTCCATGAAAAAGTGATGCTAAATATGTAGTTTTTCAATTACACACAAGAGCTCACAAAACAGTCAATATCTAACTCGTTCTTCAGAGTCTTCTTGATCACCACCGCATACATCAAGACAACGTTGAAATCTCACATAAACCATCCACGTTAAAACATAAAAGGCTAAATGATAGAGTCCAATATCAGGGGCAGTTTACAAATTAGTTATTTTCAGTTATTTGTAATCTTCAATTTTAGGTGGTTATATTCAGTTATCCTTTGAGACTATTACAGTGGGATTATTTAAATATTAGTTATTGTCAGTTATTGATAATCCTTATCCTAGAATGTAGGAGGTTATTAGGAAGTTACTAGTCAGTTATTCTCAGTTATGTTTTCAGCCTATTTAAATCTATTGTACGATGACATTAGGTGTGAATGAAGTATATTATTCAGGAATTATTCAGGAATTTCCATCTTCTTCTCTCCTAGGATTTCAGATACTGATTCTAGGCTCTCTCTCTCTCTCTCTCTCTCTATAACACACATCTCTCTCCTACCTTCTCATCTCTTCTCTCCCCTCTCTTCCCTTCTATCTCCCCATTCTTATTCTCTCTTTTGCAGAATCTAACATTTTGGTATCAGAGCCCAAACTTTCTGGACCTGTTGGGATATTATGGTGAACACACGCCAATCAAACACTAACAATGTGCCTCTCCTGCCAAATCCTAACCCCTCTCACAGTGTGTCTACACCCACCAATTCTTCTGACCTTCCCTCTACAGAACTGCTTTCCCAACAACTATCAGCCATTATGGCCAAATTAAATAATTTAGATACAGAAATGACTACTTTGAAGCAACAGAAGTCATTTCAAGCACCTAAAGGAAACCAAAGCCATAGTGGGAAACAGATTCATGAAGTTGATGATGAAGAACATGACAACCTTTGGTGGAAAAAGAATCCTTCTAAACGCCCACACTCTAAAGTAGAATTTCCTAAGTTTGAAGGAGGTGATCCTAGAGGCTGGGTTATGAAGGCAGAAAAATATTTCAGGTATTATCAAACACCTGAAGACCTTAAAGTTGATGTGGCAGCCATGAACTTAGAAGGTGATGCACTAGATGTTTTTACATGGGTTTCTTCTGGAAGATCTATCAATTATTGGGATGACTTGATTCAAATTTTTCAAGAGCACTTTGGCCCTGCTGAATTTCAGAATCCTGATGTGTACCTTTGTAGCATCAAAAAATTGGGTTCCGTGCAAGAATATAGGCAGGAATTTGTTAGAAGGTCTTCAAGAGTGCATGGATGGCCTGAGCATTGCTTATTAGGTGTTTTCATCAATGGTTTAAAGGAAGAACTGCAGTCAGATGTTAAAATTCAGAAACCCCGAACTGTTTACAAGGCTGCAAGCTTGGCTCTTGAATTTGAAGCCAAGTTACAAAATCAGAATGTGAGTCGTTATGGACAGCGATCTGGAGTTACATGTGGCAGTGAGAGCAGTGTCAATTTCAAGGAAGATAAAGACGCCAACATTCCCAGGCTGTGTTCAAACTCTGCTCTTGTGAACGCACCAGTTGTTATGTCAAGTTTCAACACCCAAAAGCAACTATTACCAACTACTACTGGAACTTCCCAAAGAATGACCCACAACGCAACAATTTCAGACCATGATAGGAAGTTTTTTAGAGACAAAAGGCTGTGTTTTAAGTGTGGAGATAAATTTGTCCCTGGGCATAAGTGCCAACCTGCTTCTCTCAAACTCATGGAGATTACCGAGGAAGTGGAAGACCCTCATCTAAGAGCCCCAGATTCGAACCCATCATTAAAAGCTACCCAATTTCCCACATTTTGCCTTGAGGACAAGGCGTATTTCCTAGGGGAGAGTAATGATAGAGTCCAATATCAGGGGCAGTTTACAAATTAGTTATTTTCAGTTATTTGTAATCTTCAATTTTAGGTGGTTATATTCAGTTATCCTTTGAGACTATTACAGTGGGATTATTTAAATATTAGTTATTGTCAGTTATTGATAATCCTTATCCTAGAATGTAGGAGGTTATTAGGAAGTTACTAGTCAGTTATTCTCAGTTATGTTTTCAGCCTATTTAAATCTATTGTACGATGACATTAGGTGTGAATGAAGTATATTATTCAGGAATTATTCAGGAATTTCCATCTTCTTCTCTCCTAGGATTTTAGATACTGATTCTAGGCTCTCTCTCTCTCTCTCTCTCTCTATAACACACATCTCTCTCCTACCTTCTCATCTCTTCTCTCCCCTCTCTTCCCTTCTATCTCCCATTCTTATTCTCTCTTTTGCAGAATCTAACACTAAAACCCCAGAGTAACATAATTTAACACATCTCACGGAGAGATAATAGAAAGCTGTGTCAACTGAAAATGTCTAATATGAATGCAATTGAACCTCTTCAACCATATTTATTGGCAAGAATAAGCTAAAATTTATTAAGGACCAATCAATTTAAGTCCTACACAAAGTAAATATCATCCATCAACCATCAAACAAATATTTCTCACCATTTGAATAAGTCCAATCCGGTAATGCCTAGGAATATCCCCCATCATTCCAAAGTCAAAATATGCCAGTGACCCATCATCGATTGCCACCAGGTTTCCTGGATGTGGATCAGCATGGAAATATCCAACCTCAAGCAGTTGCATCAAAGAGCAGTACAATCCCTACAAAACCCCATGGAAGACGGAGGGCACAACAATTGGCAATCTTTAGTTTTAAGTGTTTACATAAAGAAATGGCATGTAATAGATATATCATATATGTAAAGAGACAAAGCATGTATCCAAGATCAATTTTGTCCTTTATACCTGGTCAATGAGTTCTCTTTTGTTCAAGGAAACATTCTTTAGGCGTGTTTCATCAGTAAGCTTAATTCCATCTATCCACTCCATTGTCAGCACAGTAGTACGTGTATAGTCCCAATATATTTTTGGAACTTTGATGCGTTTCATTTCTTTAAGCCTACTTTTATTTATTCCTCCAGCTTTGTAACCATGTTCATTACCACCTGTTGAAAAGTCACCAAGCTAAATCCAATGCTAAATCTCGAATGAAGGCATTAAGAACCCATATAAGCTTGAACAATGTCAATCATTTGACCAAAATAAAAAGTTTAATTCATAGATTAACCTATACTATTTAAGGAGCATAGGTTAATCTATACTTGAAATTCAAACTTAATAATTATCAGCCCACCAATTAAGCAAAGATCTTCCTTTGTATATTGCTCACAAGCATTTGCTTTTCTGTGGGAAGTGGGACTCCAAAATTGAGCATCAACAGACGCATAACATTCAGAATGATTTAAAAGTAGAATTTTTGGACTCAAACATCTGGTTAATAATACAACGCTAAAGTGATCACCATAGAAAGTAGTGATCAGCACTTTCAGAACCTAAGCATTAACTTACTTGCTTGGAGGCTGTAAAGAGAAGCAAAACGCTCAGCATTTTTTCCTTCTAGGACATAATCGATTTCATCAAACATGTGCCTGACCTGTGGCAATGGTTTTCAGCGATTGTTGTCTAACACAAATTCAATTTAAACAAACGAGGGTCTAGATAGGAGTTGGGTGATAATAAGTTATATTTAGAAGTGGAATTTTAATGTTGGTTTTGATAAGTGAAAACATGTCATACAAAAGCAACCAAGATGTCTGAGTACTCTGGAGTGAAGGTACTCACTATCTCATTCACTGCTACAATAAGATCTCTACGAGCCTTGGCAAATCGCTTTAGTTGACCACCAATCATATGGAACAACAAGGCATCGAGGGTTAATGAAAGTGACATACCAGGTCTCTGTACTTTTACAGCCACTAGCTCTCCAGAATGCAGGTGAGCTGCAACACTTGAAAGTAACAACAGTAAACACTTAATTTTCCTGAAGCATGTAAATCCTTCTCTAGATACTGAAACGAACTTTCAACGAGCAAAGGGAGTATTAACTATAATCAGAACAAACTCCCAATCATTTCAAAAAAGCTAACCTTTATAAACTTGCCCTAAGGATGCTGCTGCAATAGGCTCTGGGCTAATGTCACTAAAGATCTCGGAAACAGGGGCACCTAGCTGGGTTTCTATAGATCTAATGGCAATATGAGTTGAAAATGGGGGTATTTGATCCTGACATGAAAAAGAAATTAATAAGGCTTAGTCAGTGCCAGACAAGCTGACACAATAGAGTGGCATGAAAAAAAGGATGTGCAGCAATCAAATAGATTCTTTCAAGTATAAATGAAGAGGCCTGTGTACCTGTAGCTTAGCAAGTTCTTGGCAGTATATAGTTGGTAGTATGTCAGGCCTCGTGCTCAAAGCCTGGCCAAGCTGTAACAGTAAGAAGATTCAAAATAAAGAACTGTCCTTAGAGTATATTGAAATCTAAGATAACAGAATTGTTTATCCTGGTTTCACTAAGTATGGTCTCAATAGATGAAGCTGGAAAAATGGAAACAAAGAGAAAATCATCTTTTCGTGGTTGGTTTTTCCTTGCATTTACTCCAGAAGCCAACAAATCTTATATCTACAATTTGCATTTTTGCAGCACTGTTCATGGTACGAAAAGCCACGGGCTCTCATTGTCCACAAAACAAACTTGTACTCACACACACAATTGCCTTTCAATCCTTGGACTCCACAAATATTTCATCCTTAAACCCTCCAAGAAAACCCTACTTAATGAATTTCTAAGCCTTCTTCTGTGCAGCATGAGAATTATAGAAAATAAATGTTCATCCAGTGGAGGCCAAGAGAAATAGTGAGTGGCATAACTGAGAGCAACCATGAATTGCATACAAAATTGCCACAAAGACATTGACTTGGGAGAAAAGAAATTGCGATGCAATTGAAATGCAATGCTTCTTCTGACTATGATTTGCTAACTTCATCAGCTATTTGCATCACAAGATTCAGGTGCCGTCACTCGTTTTCAGATAGAAGTGAAGCAAGCCTAGCAGTACTGGCCCATTAAGCATGTTCCTAGCATGGATAGTGTTTCACAAAGAATGGCTACATGCTTATTGAAGAGTATACAACTTTTATTTGTTTAGTATTTTTTTTTTTAAAATTATTCATCTATTACTTTATTTGTGGTCTTTGCCTGCAAAATGATCACAAGGCCAAACAACAAATATCTTGAGTTCATAAACACTTTCATTTTGCTATTTTGCCCATTGATCGTGTTCGCATATCCAGTGTGTGAAAAACTGGTGCCCTTGGCAAATTTAAGTATTTTCCCACTTTTTAAGAACAACAAAATGAATGGACAAATGATGAATCAGAGTCAGTATAGAATTAGGAAATAACATGTACAAGAAACTTGCCTTAACGTAGAAGGGACCCAAGCGTATTAGAGTTTTGCGAAACTGCAAAAAATTGTACAGAAATCACTGTTCATCCCACTCAGTCACTTCTCCCCCCAACAGATATAAACCAATGAGTCCGTACACTGTTGCTGGGGGGGAAGGTCAATGGAATACAACTGAAAATCAAAGTAAAAGGGAACTAATTTTATGCCATCTCCCAAAATCAAAAGTATAAGCAAATGTGCCAGGGGTTTGATAACACATGTGAATGTGATGGTAAGATCCATAATTACAGTAGACGGCGCAAATGCAATGCAAAGTTTTGATATAGAAAATAAATTACCTTGATTGCACGCTTTTCTATGTCTTGAACAAAAAGCTGCCAAAATGCTAGCCTGAACACATGAAATGAAATAATAGCTGCCCTGTACAAAGCCAGAAATGGGCCAAAACGATAGACAGTGGAGAAAGTTTTGGAGCCATAAGTTCCAAGAGCAAGCCCAAATTCACTTTCTAATGATTCTCTCCTAAGCTTTGCATACTCAGCAGATGGCTTGTCCCCATGCACACTGGTGAAGCCAGTGGAATACCTGCACCAATATCCCCAAGCTCAGGTGCAACAACCCCGGAAGAAGACTCCAAGGAACGAGACATTTGAAACCATAACATATGAGGGACAAAAGAATTTTGCACTAATCTGATTCAAGGTAGCAATCCACTCACAAATTTTGATGCAACAAGCAAGATGGCAACCAGCCAACATCTGATCTCCTCGCAGCCTCAATGTGCTTAAGACATCCGAGTGGCATGCATTTGCGTAAAATGACTTCAGTTGCACTCATGTGCTGTAACTCTGCAAGATAGGTGCTCCCATAATGAGATAACCGCACTAAAAAACAGTTTAGATGAAGAAACAATAGTACTCAATGGCTAATACCACAATAACGCATTTCTCCAACAGATGAAAAACTCAGCTCTCACACATCATCCAGCAAATTCACAGACTACCAAAACAACATCTTTCCCTATCAGTTAACAAATAAACAGTCGAGGTACCGCTACTCCTAAATATTTCGATTGAAACACCTCTTAAAATCGCTTAAACATGAAATTAACGTAAACTAGAGCCAACGGCAACAACAGAACATTCCAATTGCAGAAATCACGCAGACAAAGTCTAGTTTGTAAAATATAGTGATGATAAAAGGAAAGTACATAATAAACAAGCAACTACGTTAGAAAATCAAACCTAACCTAAAAATCAGCTACGTTAACACGTAACAATGCAAGGTACCCTGATCAACCGATCAACTTTTACACTAAATTCGCACAGAATGGGGAGCATTAGATGAAGCTAAAATTGTCAGGAAAGTATCTAGCGGTATATACTTCTGGAGAGAACCAAGGCGCCACGGCGACGGTAGATAGTCGCAAAGGTGAAGGCATTCCTCATTGACCGATGAGAAAATCTTCGACGGAAGTTCAGTTAGAGCAGATTTCGCAGAAGTGACGCATGGAAGAAATCTGAACACAAACTGTTTGAAACAATGCGCAGCACAAACCAGTAAGCCAACACAAATAGGAAGCCCGGGCGGCCTGACATTGATATGGCGCGAACAGCGCTATGCCTCTGTGCGCCTTGAAGGAAGGGCGAGAGAGAGGTAGTTGCTTGCGAAGCTGTAACTTGAGCGCTCATCAAACTGACACGTCCCGAGTTTAGGAGGCACTTGGCAACATTGATGGGCACGAACCGCCCTGGACGAATGACCGATGGTTGAGCCTTTTGGTGATTGCAGCTCCCGGTTATACGACTTGCCCTCACAGAGCCAATTAAAAATGTCAAAGCTTTCAAATATTTTTTTTTTTAAAAAAAGGCGTAACTCCTTATAATTTAATTCAATTTCAAATGAGGTCATTATATTTTGTGTCCGTTTGGATTAGCGATTAGAAAAGTAGCTTATTGAAAAAGTAACTTATGGATAAGTGAAGTTGGGTAAAAGTTAAATTGTGTTTGAATTGGAGTTTAAAAAAGCTAGTTTGCAAAAGTAAGATTGATAAAAAGTTGTTTGGATTATGGTTGAGTAAAAGTAAGTCTGATTGTAAAATGACCAAAATGAGTATGAGTTTTAATAAATAACGAAACATGATAAAAAAATTTGTATAATATAATGAATTTAAATTAATTTAATATGAAGAAGTGAAATTTAACAGGTGATTTAAAATTTAAAATTTTAAAAATAAAAAAAAATATTTTAAAAATGAAGCTCCTTGGACGGCAAAGTAATGAGCCTTTACGTTAATCTGAGAGGGGTCATGGGTGATGAAAGCTTGATAAAAAAAAAAAGAGTAAATAGGGAATAATGATAGAAGTGGGAGAACAACAAAGGAGGAAATAAAAAAAAAGGACCCTCTGACAGCAACGAAAATTGTGGGAGAGCTGAGGTGAAAAAAACGAAGAAAGTTGAAATGAGAAAATATGGCAGAAGTGAGAGAAAAGAAGCTCTGGTAGAATATAAGCTTTTCAATAAGCTATAAAATTCAGCCTGAGAGACAACGTACGTTTGCTGGCTTAAATTTCATAAGCTCCTTTTTTTTTTAAGCCCAACCAAACAGCATGATTTTTCCAATCGGACTTACACTACAAATAAGCTACTTTTAAGCCCCTCAAAAGCCCTGTCAAACGGACCCTTTATAATGCATGAGTATTAAAACAATATAGAATGAAATGAAGGAAAAAAGTAGAAAACAATGTATATGTTAAAAATACAACGGCTTAAAAATATAAATTTCCTAGGAAAATCGAACTGCAACGTTTTTTTCTTTTTAGGAAAAAAGGTCGCATTTTTTTGGACAAAAAGAAAAAGATTGCAATTTTATTTCAACAGAAACACGGCGCAAGTATCTTTTGCCGCCTATTTAAGTAACACGTAGGGGGTGTTTGGTATTCTCAAAACCGTGGTTTCAAAAGCACTTTTCCGCAAAACGAGGTAACCTCCTCCACATATTTACTTCATAATCCGTAAAAACACTTCTAAAACTATGGTTTGGTTTCTATCCAAACAGCCCTGTAATCTTCTAATGGTAAGAAACCCTCGGTAAAATGTTCGCAGTTCGCACTTTTACTTGGCGGGGTTCAGTTGGGGCCTTGGGTTTTTGAGTTTTACGTTACTGAGAAGTGAGAAGAATTTCCGGAAGGGTAAAAGGCAATTAGGCAAGAAATCGATGCCTGTCCTGTAACTGTAAGTGACATACGAAACAGTGGTTTCACCCTGATAGAGCTTTTTATTGCGTCCTATTTCTGTCTGTGACGTTTACAACTTTCTTCAACAATGGCAAACGAGCAGCAGACATTGCGACCATGGTTCCTCGACCTAGTACCTTTTTTGGTGGTTGTCTTAATAGCAGCTCATGTCCTCGCTTTGGTACTCATTCACTCGTCGATCTTCTTCCTTTAATGTTATCTTTTGCTTTTCTTTATCTCGTATTGCCAGAAACTGGTGATCTTTTTTTTTTTTTAATTATTTACTCTTGTGATTTTAGGTATACTGGATTTACAGATTAGCAACTGAGAGACAACCGCAGCGGAGAAAGGCTCACTAGGAACAGATTGATCTGTTAAGCATTGAAGCCGAAGGTTGGTGAACCCTAATTGATCTGCTGGAAATTTTAATCAGTCATCGAGCTATGATTTTTCTAACCATTGTCAATAGATAGCGAAATAATCCATGATTCTGTAGTCATTGCTCAAAGTACTTGTAACTTGAAGTGCTGGAATTGGACTGGTTTGAAGTTGAAATCCATAATGACGAGTTTATGTGTTGGTTTCATCATATGATTAAGCACACCTTATATTATCGGGATTTTGATCAATAGTTCATGTGGATAAAAGTCTGAATTGAGCAATTCATTGATTCTGACTTAGTTATCTTAAGTTCTTGACTTTAGTTGTATGCCAAATTCAAACTAATATAATGCTCTGCAAAAGTTTGTCTGGGTGTATTTTGCTGTCACTATAATCTTACCAATGGCATACAGAAATTGCTGATTCATTGGGGCACTGTGTGAAACTGCTCGGAATCATGTTATACTGTACGTACAAGCATGTTGGGAGCAGTTGGAATTTATTATTCTAACATTAGGATCCATCACTTGCCTATGTGCCCAATGGTTTTAGTTTTCACTAGAATCTAATGATACGGCTTTAAAGTCGTTGAGATCGTAAGTTAGTGATTCCTCTGTCTCAGCTATTTTATACTGGGCTGTCACTGTCAGACTTAAAGATGAATGTGTTTATATGAAATGATATGAAACATGCATGACTGAACAGGAAACCCCAAAGCAATAGGTAGGGTGAAAGATATAAACAATTTTGAAATATGATTGAATATTACTGAGTTCTCTGTAGAGTTAGTTTAACTCTGGGTAATATCTGCTGGTTGGATGCTGCACAAAATTCTTAAGTTGGTTGTGTTTCACTATTTTGCCATAAGGAAATAGTTTGCTTGGAAAATTAGGTTAAGCTGCAATCAACTTCATTTTTTATGCTGCCTCGTTGCTGTTGTATTACTTTTTATTTGTATTTTTTCTGTACCTGGGAAGAGCTACTGGTTTCAGGATGAAAACCTACTTAATATACATTAATATATATTCTACCGCACTGTTCAATTGTGCCGTTTCCAGTATCCTATTATCTTCCATCCTAGCTTTTAAGAAACTTTTCTTTTATCACATTGAACTCCTATGATCATTCATGATCTGTAGACTTTGGCTTAACAAGTCATACTCTCTGTTTTCTTCATGCTCCATTGAAACTAATTGAACTTCTGTGTTCCGAGGCAGTGGTGGTTTCTTTCTTTGCGCAGTCCTCTCTTTGGAATTTTCTTTTCTTGCACTTTGAAATCCTCTCTACCTTATTTGTTTCTACGGTGGCAATGGAAACAAAATCCGGTGGAGAATTGTTTGGGAATAGGGATATATGAGAATAGCCATTGAATGTGAGCTAAGCAAAAGAAAAAAGAAAAAACGTGAATATTAACAAAGTTATTCAATGATGGCAGCAAGTATGTAAACAAAGTCGAAGATGACTAAATAGTGTGTTTTTGTCCAACCTTGTATAATAATGTGGAACAACATAACATCAGCCGATGAAAATTTGTTGATGAATGGTGGAGATTCAGTAAGGTTCACTGGGTAAGTTTCCTTCAAAATTTAGAGAATTTCTATTCAAGTTACATCTGGGCACAAATAGAACTTGAATGCTGATGAAAGTTTCTATTTTTTATTGTCTGCTGCGAATAGTTAATAGGGAATGTGATATTACAATGTTCACTCAACCCCTCATATCAATTGTTATTCTAATGGGATTGATTGTTAACGCATGGTATTGTGTTTCCCCCCAAAGTAAGCGTTACCAAAAAAGTGACGACTCAAAAGTTATCTGCTGACACCTTCACCTTCCTTTCATCATCCACCACCTTCCAACAGTGAGGTGGGGGTTGAACAAAGTTATTGAAACTTATTACACTATCTTTAGTAAATCTAGCCAAAGAATGAGCACAGGAGTTAGCTTTTCTATGCATAAGATTCACTGGCTGTGTTTTTTATAGTGCTTGTTCAAGGTCAGATTTTTCCCCATGCAGTTATCGTATTTTCCTGCACACTGATTAGAAAATGAAAATGAAAGGTCATAAGATATTCACAAGTGACTTAATGTGATTTTTCAACACAATTCAAGTATATATTGAAACTATAATGCTGGTATCTGATGGAAACTAAGGTTTTGCCACCTCAATAACTAGCTTTAGGGGGCAGGTTTCCATCTTACTTATGAGTGTTGGATACCCCAATCTCATATTGAGTTATATGAGAATTGAGACACTTTATGGGGCATTTTAAGTGGATTGTTTTCCTTCTCTTCAATAGCTGGCTCTTGAAAGATGGTTCCTCATATCATTTTTGTAATCATCAGTATCCTACAAGTTATGGTCTTCTGAAGCATGCAACAAAATTGCTGTCATTATTTATGAGAAATAATAATTTCCCTTCTGATTCTAGTTGTCTTTTTAAGAAAATAAGAAGGTCAAAAGATCTTTCAGCATTCATTGCCTGTATGACTTACATTAGAGCATAGAGTGTCTACTAAATTATGCAGCTAAAAACGGGACACAATGTGTAAATCCTGTGGCAATTTTTTTACTTGTTAACTGGATTTTATGCAACTAAATTATTGCAGTGATCCAAGTTTACCTTGAAGGAAATTTGGCTGCGGACATTACAAAATCGGCATAACAGATCTTGAGGGGTTATTTGGATCATCCTGTCCTAGGTCTCTGAACATCATTGCTATTTCATCTGTATGGAACTGGTGTTAGCGAGGGCTAAAACGGTCGACTGCTTTGTGGTGTGTCTAGGATTCAGTTATGGATTCTAGTTTGGTCTATGTGGCCAGTGGGCGTGCTTGAGTTATATTTGTCCCCGTTTGCTGTCATGTAAATGAAACATTTTTTAGGCAATGAAGTTTTCTTTCCGTTTGGCCAAGAAAAATTACATCAATGGATTCAGTTGTCAGGCAATTGCAATGGTGACATCACTGAGGTGCTATTCGTTTGGCATATAAGAACACAGATAAAAAGATCCCAAAAAGATTTCTTCTACGCGGTACTTCCTTCTAGTGAAGCATCGCGCAAGTTCCCATATTCACAAAATAAGCAGTCTTATGTTGGACTCCTAGTGCTCTCTTTTCTTCTTACTGAGAAAAATTGTATGCACCAACCAGGGCGAGCTTTTGCTGTTCCACTCTCAAGTTCCATCCATGTGCATTGCTGGTACACACAATACTTACTTGGAGGTGCATTATTGAGTTGGGCTGCACGTGCCCAGGTGTTTCCTTTCATTTGAAAAAAATGCCAAATCCAAAATATAGAAAACATATGCAGAAGTTAGGAGCCGTCATGGGGGTAAGATACAGAGAAACAAGAAAGACAGGAAGGCGAAAGGGGAGGAGCATCATGGAATGACTGGAGAGTTCAAGAAGCCCGTCTGAAGGGTTTAGGAACTTTTTATTGTCCGCACTTGTGGATTTCTTTGATCCTTGTCTTTGTGTGTCGCTGTCGGAATCGTGGACGATGACATCTATGTAAGTGCGGTTTGCCGTCTGCGCTCTCATGTCACCTCAATGTAATGGTTAATTGACGTCGCTATCACAAGCGTTGAGAAAACAACATGCTACCTGTTTTAACTTGCCTTTGCCGACATGTTTGCGTCAAAAATCTCCAGCTTCCTCTTGTCTTCTTCTCCTGCCATTTTCTGGCCCAAGTCACCCAAGCGGATGCTTCTGCATTTATAAGTGTAACTTAGCCTATGTTTGGATGGAGGGAAATTAGGAGGGAAATTAGGAGAAGGTAAACTCCCAAAAATAATAATTCTTTTTACTATGTTTGGGAGTTTTTCTTCCTAGTATTCCTTTCCTTTATGTTCCTCCCTCTTTTACCTTCATCCAGGCGCAGCTTTATCGGTATGGAGGCTTGATATTTCAATTTAAAGTGTGGGTGGCGCTTGTGTTCATATGGATTTGAATCCCCTCGGTTGGAACATCAGATCGTGATCTAATGATATTGAGTAAAAAGTTAAAAATTTATTTTTTTTAAAAAAAAGAACATTGGTATTTGCCTCAACACTATTAGATTACAATATGATTGTTAGCATCTCCCAGACGAAGTTCAGTTGAAAAAAATACTTGTATGAAATTGGTTCAGATTGTGAAAACAAGAAAGGGCTGTGTAGTTTTACATGTTTAGGCTATTTTCATGAACATGTTTTGATCAGGGTGGCCCATGTAAATATGAAGTGATGTTTATGGACAATGAATACATGCGGATATATATATATATATATATATATCCATCCCTTTTTAACTATGAATATATACATATACTGAAATTTTAATAAAGTAGAAATACATTCATGAGTAATATTGGAAACTTTGATCGAACATTTTACCCTATGTTTAGTACAAGGAAAGTGGAGGAAAAGGGAGAAGAGGAAAAATTTTAATGCACTTGATTTTAGAAATTGAAAAAGTGAGGTTAAAAGCTTTTAATTAATTTGTATTAATCTTTTATTTTACAACTTCTCTCTGTTAAAATTTCAAAACCCCATTTCTTCAATTTTTAAAATGAAGCTCATTAAAATTTTTCATCCCCTCTCTTCCATTTCTTTCATACCAAACCAACCATTAGTTATTCAAAATTTAATGTCAATGCCATAAATGACTAATTTCATCCCTTTCCATCTGTAGTGTTGAAGTTAGTTTTTTTTTTTTTTCTCGTGGGGCTGAGGGAACAATGTCGATTGTACATTATTATAAATTCCAAATTTAACATTAAAATTCATCAATTCGGTTGCAGTGGTGTGAAGAGATAGGAAGATATTGGAATTGATTGAACTGGGTTGGCCCGAAAAGGTTGTGTGAAAAATGATGATAATGATGGTCATACCGAAAGTAGACAAAATTTTTGTTCTCAATTTTCTGCTGGGATAAGCATGATATATATTAATATAAAACTAGTTTAACATTTAATTTAGCCTTAAATATAAAAATCAATCTATTTTATTTTTTATATTTATTTATTTTTTCTAAGATAATATTTATTGTAGTTATGTATATTAAATGTTTCATCAAATAGTAGTTATGACTAATACATATGATTAGCAAGTATATTTTAGGATATACAACATTTATTTATTACAAATAATTGATTTAACTAATTTTTTTAATCTATTCAAATTAATCAATTAATTCTTGTATTAAAAATAAAAAAAGGTAGTATTTGCTATTTGCTGACGTGCGGTGGTATCCCACTATCCCATATGAAATGTTCAGATATAATGTAGAAGGTTTACATTCTTTTATTTTGTGTTCAAAATATTTTTTAAAAATATTGAAAATCAAACAAGTATGTTTATTTCATATTTCATTCCATTTCAAATAAAGACATCAGAGTTATAAAAATGAATTACAATTTAAACTGACTAATTTTGATTTAAATATTAGAGATACATAGAGAATTCAAGGACGAAAAATTTATGGGAATTGTCTTCATGTATATAATTGTATAGGCATCATTGAATATATGTGTGGAGAGGGAGCTACAACATTATTTGCCGCAACCCACAACCACAGAAATCTATTCATATCATGATAGTAGTACTTTTTAATTTAGGGGAAAAAGAACTTTTTAAGAATATCATTAAAACATTTTGTATTTGATATATCTGATATATTTAGATATGTATCAAATCCAAACAAGGGAATTCTAAATTTGAAAGTAAATTAATAATATTAACAATATAATTTAATTATAAAATAAATCGTGCTACAATGATTTCATTGGTATAAAATACTTCAAGCATATCAATTTGTGTTCCAAAAATTTTTTCTCGCATATATCAATAATTTTTTTAATTTGATTTTTATCAATAAATTACTTTTCTGACAACAAGATCATTTTGTAAATATTGAACGTATAATTTCACATGCAACTTTTGATACAACAAAAGTAGGTCTGATCATATATTTCTTTCCAACTAGATCTAATATTTTTAATATATTATCGAGGAAACTGAATCGGTTAATTATTGTAATTATCTATATTTTTTGGTCACCACATTTATTCAAAATTTAATCAAGCAGTGTTGGATTTTCAAGCTGTTAGGCCATATCCCAATATTTTTAAATTCAATTTTTAATCCATAAAGCAACTATTATTACTCCATAATCTGGATCCCGCCAGCGCGTTTCAGGGCTACCAAAAATAGCTGGCGGGTTCGGACGGCATAATAGAGGCCTTTTTTGGAAAGAGAAAATAAACAGAAAAGAAAGAGAGAGAAAAACGTGTATTTGGGAGGGGCATTTTGGTAGTTTCACTGAAACGCGAGGGTGTCTTTATTCTCATGCTTCCTGCTTCAATATTAAACACATCTCTCACACGCACACACTCCTATCTTCAAAGGGAGTTCTGTGTGGAGTGGAGACTGGTGCAAGCGTTCTCGTCCCCGGATTGAAGACTCATTTTTGTATAAAAAATCCATTCATGTGCCCCAAGAAGAATAATTGCCGGAGCTCCGGCTCCGATGCCTCTCCCGCCAGGTCCGACGATTCCGCATCCGCGGTTGACTGGATTTCCGAGGCAATCGCTGGCGGATCTCTACGCCGCGTCGACATGCACCATGGAACTAACGGCTGGGCGTCACCGCCCGGCGACCTTTTCTTTCTCCGTTCCAAAAACTACCTAACAAAAAGACAGAAGGCTCCTGCCGGAGACTATCTGCTTTCTCCTGCAGGTATGGATTGGCTCAAATCTAATACTAAGCTCGATAATGTGCTCGGCCGTCCCGATAACCGTGTGTCGCATGCACTCCGGATAGCCCAAGATCAAGGAAGATCGTTGAAGAGCTTTATCTTTGCCGTGAATCTTCAAGTGCCTGGTAAGGATTATCACAGCGCAGTGTTCTATTTCGCTACGGAAGATCCAGTTCCTTCCGGCTCACTTCTTTATCGATTCATCAATGGCGATGACGCCTTCAGAAATCAGCGGTTTAAATTGGTGAACCGGATCGTGAAGGGACCGTGGATTGTGAAGAAGGCGGTTGGAAATTATAGTGCCTGTTTGTTAGGTAAGGCTTTAACATGCAATTATCACAGAGGGCCAAATTATTTAGAAATCGACATCGATATTGGAAGCTCGGCAATCGCGAACGCTATTTTGCATCTCGCATTGGGATATGTAACGAGCGTCACTATCGACATGGGCTTTCTAGTGGAATCGCAAACGGAGGATGAATTGCCGGAGAGATTAATAGGTGCCGTCAGAGTTTGTCAGATGGAGATGTCATCGGCCAGGGTCGTTACAGATAATACTCCGCCGTTAGCGCGTGCGATCGGGCTGTCGAAGGTGAATCACGATAAATCAGCTGACGATGGAGAAGGGGTAAATGCCTAGTTAGGGCTAAAATAATTTATTTAACTCGGAAGGTTTTTTTTTTTTAAATTATTTTTCTTGTTTCTGTAATGTATTTTTTTTTGTCTCTCTTTCCGGGACTGGTCACTTGGGAATATCAGATAATAACCGAATATAATTTCGGTGTTCATAAAATTCCATTTTACGCGTTGGCAGTCTTCATGTGTGAAAGCATAGAATTCCACAGAATCAGCACCATATGGTGATATCCATGAAAAAGGTTGAGAATGGAATTTTTGTTAGCTGACACTGAATTAAAGAAAAGTTAGACTGAAAACAGAACAAGGCAGGCAAAAGGAATCTGATCATCTGTGTGTTATCTTCTTGCTTTTTGGTTGAGCTTAGTGTGTAATGTAGTCTTCTGTGTAGGAAAAGAATCACACTTTTTTTCTTGAATTAGTTCATGATCTAGAAGAAGAGCAGGAAGCGGAATCAAACTCGTCACCTTCCACTGGGAATCACACTTTTTTTAAATAACGGGAGATATAAGCCGCATGGCAACGCAGGAATCTTTTCCGCTTTGGGTACGCTGAAAAGGGGGTCGGCGTCAAAAACTTGTCCTGCTACTCCTATATTACTACAGATTTTTTCCCTTGAAAAAACAGGTAATATGGAAAGACAGAGGAGAGCGGTAGTAAAAGTGAAGCAAGTACTATTATAAGAATAGAGTACTGTGAGAAGCGATTTGCCCTGCATCACTAAATTGCAATCTATACCTTTTTTTTTAAAAAAAAAAAAATCAAATACAGTGTGTGGAATTGATTCTTCTTATAGATTGTTTGGTGAGGGAACAGTCATGTTGATACAGACTGTCGCTATGGCTTCGAAGCATTAAATAGATATGATTTAAAGAATTGTGTGACTCACTGCCTTGCGTCACAAAAAGATTCCATTACACGGACCCCCACTTGAGCCCCAAAGTAAATTACCCAGAGAGGCTAGTGGGGGTCGGTACCGAATAGCGCTCTCGTTGAGATATTGGGAGCTGTGACCCCTTATGGCCTTTTTGGACACCCATGATATGACCCCGTCGCTGTATGCGGCTTATCTGATCTTTCCATACAAAGAAACAAACGCCATCGCTGATCTCATTCTTGGATTTTCTGGTCGCTCACCTCATATCCCTCGTGCCCTAAATTCATTTATCTCCGGTGACACTTCTCTCCTTCTGCTTCTCTTATCTTTAAATTTTAATTAATTTGCTCTCAGAAAACTCTGAATTATGAGTAATGATTATTACGTATGCCGAGTAAAATCGTGTTAGTGGCTACAGTTGTGTGTTTGATTATTTTGTTCAAAAATTAAATACAATGCTCTTAGTAATTTTTCAGATGAAAAAATAATATAAATTTTTAATCCCTCTTGCTGAGCTGTAATATTGGGGTTTGGCGATAGTAAAAGGACCACGACCCCGTGGTGACAGGTGGTGGCCACCCTTGGAGTAGGGCGCATTGGAATTTGGAAGTCAAAACAGCCGACCCCCCGCCTCCCACGCCTTTTCTTTTGAATTTTAATTTTAATTTATATATAATTAAATAACGCAGGCGCACATGATCCTCCCCCCGGCATTTCTCACGAAACAAATAACGAAGGCTGTTAATTCTGTAAAGAAGATTTCTGTGTCTTCCATTGGTCACTGTCTCTGATCTCAGCAGTTTATTCAAAAGTATTAGGGAACAAGCTAAGATAATTTATTTAGGAAGAAACTGTTTCATTATAAGCCTATTCAGTGTGTAAACATCTCCAAATGTTCCTGATTTCACTTCACCTCATATACCTGCTCATGGCTCAATAGTTAAGTAATCTTAATATTCGGTGTCTCCTATATTATATCAACACAATATTCATCTATGTTTAAAAATTTATGAAGAATCTCACTCTTGATAAACCATTAAAAGAACATTTAAATTTCAACTTCCCATGCAATTATAAAAGGATGCTACGATTTCGTTTAAATTTTCTTTTCTCTAAAAAAACTTAAAGGTGAGGGTGAGGTGTCGCTAACCAAGCTTTTTAATGAAATTTTACGCTCTAAGAATATACCGGATGAGTGGAGGAGAAACATTTTAGTTTCTATTTACAAGAATAAAGGAGACATTCAAAACTGTGCAAGCTACAGAAGGATAAAACTTATAAGTTATACAATGAAGTTGTGGGAAAAAGCGATGAAATTATAGGTTGAGGCTAGAGACTTCTATTTCAGAAAACCAATTTGGATTTATGTCAGGGAGATCCACTTCGGAAGCAATCTATTTACTAAGAGGGTTAATGGAAAGATATAGAAGTAAAAGAAAGGATTTACATATAGTCTTTATTGACCTGGAAAAGACTTACGATCGTGTGCCAAGAGAAGTAATGTGGAAGGCTTTGGAAAAAAAAAGGTGTACGGGTTGCTTATATCAAAGCCATACAAGATATGTATGAGGGGGTAACTACCAGTGTAAGGACGCCTGGAGGTGAGACAAAGGACTTCCCTATTCAGATTGGCCTACATCAGGGATCCTTTTTGAGTCCGTACTTGTTTAACATTGTTCTGAATGTTCTAACTGAACCTATTCAAGAAAGAATCCCTAAATCCATGCTTTTCGCGGATGATATAGTTCTCATGGCGGAATCAAAAGAAGAGATTAACCCTAGATTGGAGTTATGGAAAAGGATGTTGGAGTCGAAAGGTTTCCGCTTGAGCAGGAACAAAACAGAATATATGCATTGTGATTTTGAGGGGAGGCAAGGCAATGGGGATTTAGAGGTGAAGATGGGGGAACAAATCATTCCTCAAGTATCAAAGTTTAAATACCTAGGATGTATTATACAGCAGGATGGGAAAATTGATGGAGACGTTTCTCATAGAATACAAACTGGCTGGTTAAAGTAGAGGAAAGCTACCGGAGTTATTTGGGATAAGAAGATACCTGAGAAACTTAAAGGAAAATTTTATTGGACTGCTATAAGACCGGCTATGTTGTATGGTAGTGAATGTTGGGTAATAAAGGGAAAACAAGAGTACAAAGTTGGGGTAGCAGAAATGAGGATGTTGAGATGGATGTGTGGTCATAGAAGAAAAGATAGGATTCGAAATGAAAATATCAGAGCAAGAGTCAGTGTGGCACCTATCCAAGAGAAAATGGTTGAAAATCGCTTAAGATGGTTTGGACATGTGCAGAGAAAGCTATTGGAGGTCTCGGTGAGGAGGGTGGATCAGACAAGATGGAGTCCTATAAAAAAGAACAGAGGAAGACCAAGAAGAACGCTTAATGAGGTCATTGAACGAGACCTCCTAGTCAACAACATATCTAAGAACTGGGTTGTTGACAGAGCACGATGGCGTCGTGTGATTCATGTAGCCGACCCCACCTAGTGGGATAAGGCTTGTTGTTGTTATAAAAAAACTTAAATCAATCCCTAATAGGCACATAATATATGTAAAAGTAACAGAACTGAAAATTCATTTGTTTTGTTAATTAAGGGATCATTATTTCTAATTGTAATTTATAAAATACGAGATAAGTATGTAAAAAAAATATCTTAATTTATATGAAATGTATTTATAAGTACTAAGTGATACCAAACAAACACTAAATCGTGCTCCTAATTTTTTTTCACACTAGTGCATACTGCATAGATTCATTTCTTGGCCGCAAAAGAAGCATGCAGAGTTTTTTCTTTTGGGCGAGGCATAAATCAAGATGTGAGTTGAACCACTCATTGCTCAATTATGTAGGCACACGAATGATTGAAATTGTCAATATTCCTATATATATATATATATATATTTTCTCCACAAACTGGTATGTTTTGAGAGGAAGAAGAAAAGGCAAAAACGGGAGCAAAGGAGCTTATTTCGCTGTCAATTATCGAATAATGGTGCAATTTGGTTAAGTAGGAGCCTCTTCCAGCGATTTAATTTCCTTCATTATGCCAACCTGTTTGAACCAGTCTGCTTTACAAAAAAAAGTGTTTGGGAATGTTTAAAAGTGTTTTTAAAAAAGACTTTTCTGTAAAACGAGACAAACTCTTGCACATATTTACTTTACTTCGTAAACCGTAAAAAGCATTTTTAAAACCATGGTTTGGTTTACATTCAAACATATATAAAATCAAATGTCAACCCTTTTAATTATATAATCAAGCATCATAATTTGTTTCAAAAACATTCAGGGCATCAGAGCAAGCGATGTTAACTTGTTTTAATCAACGTGGGTCGTCGAATGTACAGTAAAAATCAAATTTGCAAGATCACATTCATTCAAGATTTATGTGGTAGTAACTTGGTTTAGTTGAGGGGGACGTGACAGTAAACGAAATACTCTCTCAGTTCTAAATATAAGATCTTTATACTAGTATGTATAAGGGTCTTATATTTAAGACTCTTGTACTAGCATGTATAAGAGTCTTATATTTAGAACAGGAGGAGTATTATTCACATTATCAATTGCTATTAATTCATTAGCCTAATTAATAATTACCAAACTAAATCAATGCTGCCCATGCGGATTTCTTCTCCCAGTTTCGATCTAATACCTTCCCCCCCCCCCCAATCACATCAGCAAACACCAACAAACCACAGATTAAAAGATACTACATCCGATCCTAATTATAAGAGTTAGTTGACTAAGTAAAGAAATTAAAAAGTAAGTTGAGTTTATATTTGTTCTAAATAGGTGTTATCTTTCCTAAAATATCCTTGCTAATCAAGTATATTGGTTAAAACTACCATTGTTAGAAAGACTACTTTAAAAAAAAAAATAAATATGAGAAATAAAGTAGATTGTGATCTTATATTTAAAATTAAAATAAAAATTAAATAAAATTTTATACTAAAGACGCACATGTTTATTCAGTTCAGTTCATTCGGATTTGTACATTTCCAAGAGCAAATGCCCACGCGCAAGCATTACCATGTCATGCATATTTCTTTTTTTTTTTTTTTCTTTTTGGCCTTTTTATATTATACAATTAAACGCAGGTACGCTTGTAAACGTGTGTGGAACTCGGGAACTCATTCGAATATGGTGAGTAGCGTTGCCACTGTAACTACTAAATTATGTACTCCCTCCGTTTCTTATTATAAGAGACGAATAACCGAATTACGTTGATAAAAAAAACAGTTAAAATTAGTTAAGAACAATGAATGTGTAAAAAGTATATTTTTTTT